GCTGCCGGTCCGACAGACAGGTGAGTATCCAAGTGAGCAAGCCTTCACGGACTGTTGAATAGTCGGGGCGTGGCCGGCACAGAAACTGATGGCCAGGAGGGGACTCTTCCACCAGACAGGTGAGTAGCCAGGTACGTCTACCTTCTCAAGGAGCGGAGCAGGGCAGAGTCTCGTGAAGGAGGAGGATCTTTGCGGAGCAGGCGGTGAGTGTCCAGGTAAGCAAACCTTCACAGACTGTTGAGCAGTCGGGGCGTGGCCGGCACAGGAACTGATGGCCAAGAAGGGACTCTTCCACCAGACAGGTGAATAGCCAGGTACATATACCTTCTCAAGGAGCGGAGCAGGGCAGAGTCTTGTGACGGAGGAAGATCTTTGCAGAGCAGGCGGTGAGTATCCAGGTAAGCAAACCTTCACAGACTGTTGAGCAGTCGGGGCGTGGCCGGCACATAAACTGATGGCCAAGAAGGGACTCTTCCACCAGACAGGTGAATAGCCAGGGACGTATACCTTCTCAAGAAGCGGAGCAAGGCAGAGTCTCGTGATGGAGGAGGATCTTTGCGGAGCAGGCGGTGAGTATCCAGGTAAGCAAACTTTCTGCAAAACAGACAAGTAATTCAAATAACGTGGCGGATCCTCTTCGGTGCAAGATCGAAGTTTACGGCTGGAGGGTGTTCTCCTGCAGCAGACAGGGATGTATCCAGTGTGTGTCTCTCCTTCAGGCAGGCATCACACGTTAGCAAGAGAATCCTCTATTAAAGAGACAGAGTCAGTAATACAAGGGCATACACGCTTTTCTTCAACACGGAGACGCGGGCTTACGGGTAGAGTGCATTGCTGCAAAGCAGACAGAGACGTGGCCAGTGTGTGTCTCTCCTTCAGGCAGGCATCACACAATGGAACATTAGCGGAAGAATCTTCTATTAAATAGACAGAACAAGTTATACAAGTGCCCGCATTCTTCTCACATATAAAGGTGAAACATGCACATTCCACATTCGGAGTCTTCTTCGGCAACAGCAGACAAGAACATGAACTGGGGAATACTCGGCAGTTAATATGTATATAAATCCCACACCTGGAACCACACTTCAAACCAATACTGTGTGACACTTCAATTCAGGCACTGCATATCCACTCACTCTCAGTGCAATAAGGCCAGCACTCACCCAGAGATCGATCCTTCCACTGTTGCGCTGAATCAGTTCTCATCAGAGGACGAAGAGATGCAGATGACTTGTCACGGGCACAGGGGACAAGCGTCTTCAATGCTCTCTCACATTCAGAGGAAAGACAGCAGGAATTCGATGATGACTCAATCCAAACACTCTCAAGTGACAGTTACACTCGTGATCAATACACTTCACAAATTCATATCCAACTCAGTGCAGAGCATACATTCACATAGATCCGATGTCATATTACTTATCTCCCTTTCAATGATGATGACGTTTCCGGTCTGGGCTCGATCTCCACGATTCACTCACTTTCCATCCTTTGACGTTTTCAACTCGTGTTCACACAATCACCGTTGCACCCTCAATTCAGCCGAATCCTCACAGCATCCCCCAGATATCTCCGCGAGTCAGCGTCACTGCAAAAAAAACGATTTCTCCCGAGGGAGCACCACACTCGACTGTCTCTTCCCTCTCCTTTTATACACTCCATTGTCTGCATAGCCCTATCGCAGATCCCCGCGCAAATCCTCCACACCTGATGCTGATCTGTCATCAGCCGCCGCTGCCATGGCGACAGATACACAACCAGAACCGGCTCGGTGTTTCATTAATGCCGTTCCGGGGGAAACACCATTTCAGCGGGATTTGGTTCCGCTTCGCTTCGTCACCTCGTGACACTTGCATAGCTTACGATAAGAAGTTTTCACGTTCATATGATTATGGTGTGAACACACTTCACATCCATTATCCTAACCAAGGGGTTTAGTGTGTTTCATTTGCACACAAAAATTATTTTTTGACGTATAAATGGCACGAGGAATACAATTCGTGCTATAGATACGCACTTTCATGAGATCGTGTTGCCCGATCATACTCAGTAGGTTTGAGAACTATGCAGCTCATGTCCATCGGTGTCATAACCCATAATAACTCACATTTTTTTCTGATTTGAGTGATCCATCTGTATCATGCTAGTGTAATGCGTTTAACGTGTGAATCCTTACTAAAAATGCAGTTCTATAATGAGGCGTTGGCGTGAATTGTACTCGTGATGGAGTGCTCTCGGAGTGAGTGAAAACCACGACGCTCCGACTTTTAAAAAATCCGCTCCGCACTCCATTCAAAATCACTCCGCTCCCACTCCACTCACATACTCTGGTCATCACTGATCACCGTAACTTGGAATATCTCCAGAATGCATGCCATCTTCATCTTTGCCAAGCCAGGTGGGCTTTGTTCTTCACACGCTTAAAGTTTAAAGTTACCTACTTTCCAGGTAACAAGAACACCAAACTAGATGCACTTTCCCGCATGCACTCTGCAGACTTATCTCAACTGTGGGGGCTGGGGGCAGTGTGTTGTGTATATGAAGGGAGTGAGTTTACTGGTGTTCTGGACAAATCAGTGTAGAATGCAGGTACGCCCATCCATCCCCAGCCCACTTCCAACCACATTGTACCCCTGATTGGCTGCATGCATCAAATAGCTCAATGTGTCTTGCTAGTACTGTTTTGTATTTCTCTACAAGCTATTAATAATGCTTTTATTGTCTTAGGTGAATCACTCTAAGCGACTCAGCCAGAAGCCGCTATGTGGGTACTACCTTAACGCTTTGCTACCGCGTTAAACTTTCCAAACTCGCGTGCTGAGATGCTGCCATAGTGATCTACAAACTTTCCACTATTTACCAAACAACAAAACCAGAAAAGATAGAAAAAAAGATAAAAAAAACTCACACTCACACCTTAGAGCTCACTCCAACACACACGAAGAGAAGAGAAGAGAAGAGAAGAGAAGAGAAGAGAAGAGAAGAGAAGAGAAGAGAAGAGAAGAGAAGAGAAGAGAAGAGAAGAGAAGATCTGGCTGTAATGAGAGCAACTTGAAGTAAAGCCATGAGCATCGGCCTATTTGATCTCATGACAATTTTATTGTTGTTGTTTTACTAGAGACAAAGAACTGCCTTACACTGACAGCTAAATGAAAGTTACAAATTAAACCAACTTCCACAAAACTAACGTCACAGAATTAAAATGTATTTCACTATGTTTGCTTTATCTGAATCTCAGTTTATTTTAATTATTGGATCTGTAGAAACCTTTTACTCACAAAATCACACATTGTCAGTGAAATGGTAATTTTATTTGTTGTTATTGTACAGAGTTATTGTACATGCATCTGTATATGTAACAATAAGCTTTATGTAACTTAAAAAAAATAACCTGATCAAATTCTGGGATTTGTTTATTTTTTTTTAACAAATAACTGATGTTGTTTTTCTGCATTTCTTGCCTGTCTCTTTTCATTTTGGTATTTCTTTGAGTAAGCGTTCAATCAAAATAATTTTCAATGATATTCTTGTTCTCCAACATATAAAACACAAATCTTGTGGCATTCACAGCAATACTAGTTTATTAGTTAACTAACTACACATTTTCTTTATGTGAATCTAACAAAACATTTGCTCACTGTGACACAGAACAATGCTTTCTAATATGAGTCACTAGATAACTTGAGTGGGTGAAACTCTTCTCACACTGAGTACAGTCGTACGGCTTCTCTCCAGTATGAACTCGCTCGTGTGATTTCAGGTGTGCAGAATGAGTGAAACTCTCGTCACAATATGAGCACTTGTAAGGTTTTTCTCCAGTATGAATTATTTGGTGCTGTTTCAGATGACTTGATTGGGTGAAACTCTTCCCACAGTCAAAGCACATATAGGGCTCTATCTTGCACTCGGCGCAAATGACTTTGTACACTGACGCATGTATCATTCCTATTTTGCACCCGCGCAAAGCGGACTTTTCCCTCCACAGACACACGTCGGTTAACTAAGAAATACACTTGCGCTCCCCGGGGCGGTTCAGCGCAAAGAGGAGGCGTGTTCCGGCGCAAACTTTCCCTCATGCTATTTTGCTGTTCTATAAAACAATTGCGCCACTGACCAGAAAAAAACTAGTCTAAAGTCAGTGGCGCGTTGCGCGTTGTTCATTATGCTATTTTAAGCGCGCATGCTTGGCCATAATGTAGCGGGTGCACAACGCGCATACACTTTGATTCTCTCATCAACACAGATGCAGCAGTTTTTATTTTTGCAAATCATACATTATAACAAGGAAAAATATTAACACATGAGGGAAATCATTGTGGTGTCCATGAAAATTTAGTTTTTTTCCTCCCACGCCTGTTTAACCGACGCTGATTTGTATGGGGATGGGAGAAACCCACCCACGATAGATAGATAGATAGATAGATAGATAGATAGATAGATAGATAGATAGATAGATAGATAGATAGATAGATAGACAGATAGATAGAGAGATAAATAGATAGATGAGTCTGATTTGAACGTTGAATTTCTTGTTATTTCTGCATGCATTCTACTTCAGACAGTCAATAAACAGTGCCGTCTGAGGGTGTTACTGCATGAGGGTTTATGCCATAGTTTACAGGTGCACGCAAAACACGCAATACAACGTCACTTCTCTGTCTTTCACGGTCCTGACAAGAACATCGGTCTCCTCGGCTGTGAACCGCTCCTGACGCGCGCCTGGTAAATCCGCCGTTATAATAGCAATCCGCCATGCAACATGCGCACCTGCTCTTAAAGGGAATGTGAGATGACGCTCTGATTGGTTTATTCCACGTTACGCCCAAACCACACCTATGATTAATGAAGCTACTTCAGACCAACCTCTTTTAGATTTGCGCCAGGCGCAAGGGGCATTTATCCCGCCGGGAAAATAGCAACAGCGCCGGGATCCGCCCACAAAGTTACTTGTGCTTTGCGCTTTGACACTTGCGTTTCAGATCGTTAAAATAGGGCCCCTAATCTCTCACTTCATTATGTGTTTTCTGGTGCAGTTTAAAACTGTCCAGCCTTGAAAAATTCTTTCCACAGAGAGAACACACATAAGGCTTCTCACCTGAATGAACTTTCAGGTGTTGTTTTAGTTTTGATGATGAAATAAAATCTTTTCCACACTGATCACAGTTAAATAGTTTTTCTCCAGAGTGAATGAGCAGATGACGACTGAGAGCTGATGATTGAGAAAAACTCTTTCCACACTGAGTGCATGTATACGGTTTCTCTCCAGTGTGAATTCTCATGTGTCTGTTAAGGTCTCCTTTCTGTGAGAAACTCTTTCCACACTGAGTGCATGTATACGGTTTCTCTCCAGTGTGAATTCTCATGTGTCTGTTAAGGTTTCCTTTCTGTGAGAAACTCTTTCCACACTGAGTGCAGGTGTGCGTCTTTTTGGCTTTTGTTCTTTGAATTGTAAAGTTACGATGTTCCTCCACTTCATTCAGTTCTTGTCTTTGCTCTTTCACTCTCACCTGGTCTAAAATACACAGAAATACAGTTAGAATCAGTTCAAGTGAACCCTTATTTAATAGCAGAAAACAACAAAGATCAGATCTTTCACTTTTTGTTCTGTCATTCACTTGTTTATATAGTAAAAATATGTTTGACAACTGGTATATACAAGGTTATGATCATCTGGATGTATTTCTCTATCATTTATCATCCATATACTTGCTTACTAATTCACATCTACCAAAACAGTCCAAAATGAAGAATCAAGAATGGACACCAACCTGTTTGTTCCTCAGTATCTTCATGTTTTATTCTGGATGGTTCTGGATCACTCATGTCTTCAATCTCCTCTTTAATAAACTCCATCTTTAACAGTCACACAGATTTCAGCTGCTACTCCTGGAGATTGTCCTTCTCTTGTAGGATGATGGGAATATTCCCAGTATTTATTGGTGAATTGTTGTGGGAGGGGCTTCACTGCAGGTGTGAACTGTGATCACTGTGTTTTTATCCAATCTGCATTTAAAAAGTACAGGACCATCATGTTAAACTGAGCAGCTGAAAAACCTATTTGTCTCCAAAAGTTCCCTGTTTTCAGCTCATTCATTATGGTGATGTCTGAGATCTTCTGTAAATTGGCATATTAAATCGTTTTATTGGTGTCAACAGGCTGAAACAAACTACAGCATCATCACCTTTAACTCCAGTTCTTATCTTTGCTTTTTCACTTCCATCTGGTCTGAAACATTAAAACAAATTAAGTTGTTAGAATGAGTTCTGGAGGATAAATGTGAATTTTCAAGTGAACCCTGATTTCATAAGTGAGATCTGTTTATCAAATATCATATTTTTGTAGTACCAAAGGTTAGTTTTGTCATCCTCTTGTTAATAGTCAAAACGTGAATGACAACTGCTGTACAAGATTATGATCTAAGTGCATTTATGTCATATATTCCTAGATTAATTGCACAGCTTATTTTCACAGCTATTTTGATTGGCATCTAACAATATTACTATATAAACTAAGTCAAACAGTCAGTGATCATCATGCATTTGAACTAATTGAAACCATTCATAAAATCATCCATGACTCGTGTGTGTGTGTACACTGTAAAAACAAAAGGTGCCTCAAATATCCTGTCGGATACTCAATGAACTTAAAAATGTACTTGAAATGCCTCAAAGCTCTTTCTCCTATAGTAGGGTTACTGGTGGAGCATTGACCATCTTTGCGGTTCTTGCTGGAACTTATGGGATCCTTTAAGCACTGTTTATTAAGTTCAGAGGTTCTGGAGTCACCTTTTCATCACCATGAGACCTCAAAGTGCTTTGGGGGAAATTAGAGGAACTTGAATACTTTAAAAGGATTATTGCAAGATCTTTTATCATTTAAGTGGTTCCTGAAAGATCTCTTATGTTAAAGCCAGCAGCTGGAGGAACCCAATGGTTATGTGAGGCCAGAATAAGATTATTATTATCCTATAATCATTACATTTAATCATTTAGCACAGGGGTTCTCAACCTTTTGCAAGCTGGGCCCCCCAAAGCTGGTTCATTGCAGTTGGGGCCCCAGTGCCCCACACCACACACCACACACCACCCCCCACACCACCTTGCATAGATAGATAGATAGATAGATAGATAGATAGATAGATAGATAGATAGATAGATAGATAGATAGATAGATAGATAGATAGATAGATAGATAGATAGATAGATAGCCATATAGGCTATTATTTTTAGGCCCACATTATTAGGTGTTCAAGCACGAAGTGCTGAAAACCTATTGTAATCGTCCTGATTTTTATTATTATTTTTCTCCTGTAAAACGCATCGTGCAGCCCAAACCGTAAGGGCTGGAGCCTTGAAACTTTGCCAGATGGTAGTACAAAAATCGAGGAGAGGTTATCAAAGTATGAGCCCGATTGGCCCATAGGTGGCGCTATAGCAAGCAAAAGTAGGAAATCGTGCATAACTCCTAGACCATTTATCCCAGAATCAAGTGTCTTATATCCCTGTAATCCTTGGCTCAAGACGGACAAAACGTATATCTCCGATTTTATTTGCGTCTGGAAAAAATTTCCGCCATCTTGGATTTTGTCCAAAACCTACTTTTGCGAACTAGTCCCTGGTTTTTCACCCGATTGGAACCAAACCAGTGTAGAAATGTTCTCTGGAGTCTGAATATCAATAATTATCGAAAAAACGTTGAATTTTCGATTCACGGTTGCTAAGGGGCGTCAAAACGTTCGCAGGAGGCGGAGCTAATTTTACTAAAATGGGTATAACTCGTGAACAAAATAAAATAATTTCACCAAACTCGGTACACGTATGTATGAGCTTTATTTGAGGTCACAGTAAAAAAAATCGCGACGATCGAACACTAGGTGGCGCTATAACATGAAAAAAACATATAAAGGACTGACAATTAGTCCGATTGACTTGAAAATTGGTATACAGTGTCTTGGTCCAAGGCACCATGTATGTGTATGAGGACATTGGCATATCTCAAAAAACATGGCCGCCATCGACAAATGAATTTTGAGCCCCTATGAGACGAGGTTAACGGAGGCCAATCAGAACGAAACTCGATGGGCATGTTCGACTCATGGCCTAAGAGGTCTGTAAGAGTTTTGAAAGAAATCGGCCACTAGTTGGCGCTAACGAGTTTTACGGCTCTTTAATCACGTGGTGTTGCACATATCCCCACAAAATGCATATCATATGATAGATCTCCTCATGTTGAACAACTTTGCCTCTAGAACCATTGCTGTCAATCAAATCGTTCATTAAATATTCACGAATATGTTAAAAACCTACTTTTGCGAACTAGTCCCTGGTTTTTTGCCCGATCAAAACCAGACCAGTCTAGGACAATTCTCTGGACTCTATAGATCAATAATTATCAAAAAAAAGTTGAACTTTGCCCTTTGGTTCACTGTAACAGGGTCATTTAGAAAAGGGGCGTGTCAAAATACACTCAAAAGCCTATAAATCATAAATGAAAACTCAGAACTTGACAAAAATTGATGAGCATATGTGTCATACCATGGTGAGGAAGCATTCAAAGTTTCATGGAGATCGGACCATAGGTGGCGCTATAACTGTTAAAAAGCTTTAAAACCATACATTTCCTATGGTAAATTGCCTGTATTGGCTGTAAATTGTCTTTTCCATCTATGATCGTATACTTTTCATATCATAATGTTTAAAACCAGTGCAGTACAATTCTCTGGACTCTCTGGATCAATAATTATCAGAAAAGGTTGAACTTCTGCATTTTGATGGCTATAAAAGGGTCACTTCAATGTGTAGCCTTGACCGAGTGTGCCCGAAAGCCTATATCTCTTCAATGAATGCTCAGATCTTATTAAAAACAACTCAGAACATGAGACCTATCACTCTAAACAAGCATGACAATTTTCAGACAGATCGGACAAAATTTGCCTCTATTACAGTTAAAAGGGGGGAAATTATATGACCATAATGGCATATTAAGCCAATAAGTGGTATTCTACTGCCCCCTGCTGTTTAAAATAGTCATTTTGTCATAATGCTGACTATTATTGTTCTATAATTCATATTTAGAGTTTATATAATCAATATTTTAACATTTACAATCACATTTAGTCAAAATTCATTGTCACATTGACAAATGTGAACCCTGAATGAGACAGTTTAATCTACAATAGAATGTGTGTGTGTGTAGTTCCATGTTTCTGAATAAATCCATATGTGACATAACATCATGAACATGCATGCAAAGTTTTATGGAGATCGGACCATAGGTGGCGCTATAACTGCCTGTATTGGCTGTAAATGGTCTTTTCCATCTATTATGTCAGTGTTTAAATGTATGCTACATAAAACTTAATGTCTTTTGATGCTTTTGTGCTTAACGGCCTTAAAGGCCTTAACTGCTTGAACACCGCTAAATGCTGCTTGCAGCTTTAATTATTATTATTATTATTATTAATATTATTATCATCATCAGTAGCGGTAGGTATGCCTATTATCATTACTAGGCTATTTTTATAATTGGCAGTAGCACCAGACTGCTAATGTTGTTACATGTGTGTCCTGAGTTTCCCCCCGTCATTGTGTATTTGGTTTATTCCTGTGTCTCAGTTTTCCCTCTCCTCGTTAGTTCTCATTTCCTTCACCTGTATCTAGTTAATTTGCCCCAGCTGTGTCTTGTTCCCCTATCTGTTCTCTGTGTATGTAAACCCTGTGTTCTCCCTCACTCCTGGTCGGTTCTCGTTTATGTAAAGTGTGTGTTGTGTTATCCTGCCTGTATACCCGTTCAGTAAGTCATTGAAAGTAAAAGTACTTTGTATTGGAACCTTTGTGCCTCATCTTCTTCTTCTTAGTGATGGGCAGATCGAGGCTTCGTGAAGCAATGAAACAGTTGAACCAAATGGTCCTTATTGTTTCGAGGCTTCGAATCAATCCGACACCCGTCTCCACGGCGACACCTAGTGGTCACTTGCAGGTGTTGATCTGAAACAACCTTGACGAGCCATGAAAATTTTTTTTTTTTTTTTTTTATTATTGTACTTTTCTAATATGTGAATCTTGCAACCTATAGGTTCCTCACTGTGCATAATGTTAGTTTGGTCCTGCAAAATGAATATTAATAAAATAAATCAAGCCAAATGTCTCACTTTTTTACATATTTTTATTCAAAAATATTAATTTCTCTGCTGTGGAAGGACTTAGCCTACTTCTTTTTTTACAGATAATTTCTCCAGCCTTTGAAAAAATCCTCTCACAAGGGACACTTGTTGCTGGCATGCAAAGATAGTTTTTAGCTAATACATACAAATGAGGAAAGATTACTGCTCTCTCTTTCCAGTAAGTTAGTGGATCATGAGTTCTGGGCAAATACGCATCGTTGATGTATTTTTTCACTTCCACTGTGGCATCAGCTGTAGCATTGTGTATCATCTGGGTTTGATGATACGAGAATCAAAAAGTTCCCATAAACTGTCCTGTGTTTCTACTGGATGATGTATTGTTGCAGGCGAGCTGCCGATCACAATACACACATCTCACTTTATTTGGGGTTTCTAAATGGAAATGCTCCCACACCACAGATGTACGGCATCTCTTCTGGGGAGCCTCCATTTTATCTATCTATCCAAATCTATCTAGATATGTATCTCTAATCTATCTATGTAATTAGATCTATGTATCTACAATCTATCTATGTATTTAGATATGTATAATATGTATCTATAATCTATCTATTTATATATGTAGCCTATCTTTAATCTATCTATCTATCTATCTATCTATCTATCTATCTATCTATTAATCTAGCTGTCTATATATATTTATATCTATGTATCTATTAATGTGTCACTATTATGTATACTCTGTGTCTCTAGCCTATCAGTCAATGTGTTGTGTAAATTTAAATGTGAGCCTAAATATAACTAAACAAATCGCACTATATCACCAAAAATCCGCTATCTCAAATTCAAACTCCTCTCACAAAAACCACGAGGTCAATATGCGTTGATTTCACTTTTATACAGATGTGCGATTGTGTGGTCTGTTGTT